TAATTTTGAATAAGTATTTTAAATTTAATAGTGAAATTCTGAGGGTTCTCCACCTGCAAAGATTTTTTTTTTGTTGCTGCATAAATAGCTGGATTGTCACAAGGCATGACTAAATATGATGACATATAATATGTTAAAGTATGATTTTAAACTCTTTGTTACGCAATGTGTTGTTGCAATGTACAATACTGGGTAACCGTAATTCACAGTACGATATGAAACTGTGAATTGCATTATACCTAAATTTCAGTGCAGCACAGGCATGTACATATCAAAGGCTGGTTGAGAATGATGTTAGTAACTCCTTAATTACAGTGGCTTCTCTTCACTACCATTGTAAAATCTGTCCTGGTCACTCTACTTATATGCTGGATGAGACTCTGGGGAGATGATTTAGCCGAAGAAGGACTGAATAAATGATGACAATGGTAGCCACGCGGTAGACTAGACTGGAGCTCCAACAAGTGTGTGTGTGTTAATGTGGGTTTCATTCCACAGCAGTGGAAATGCCAGGGAAAAGAAAATCTCTGGCATTGCTTTTGTTGTTGAAAAAGAAAAATCTTTAAAATATATTCGGAAAATAAAAATCTGACCGGTTATTATGTGGTCACCTCAATACTAGGGGTGGACCGAAATTTCGGCAGCCGAAATTTTTGGTTGAAAATTGCTAAAATCTGCCGAAAATGACACCCTCCCCCCTTCCCCCGCGTGCGCAGACATCCCAACCCTCCCAGACGTTCCAGGAGTTATCCCCGTTCACCTTCTGCTTTCTGCCTCTCTAAAGAGGGCGGCCGCATAACGTCACTGCACAGGGGGAGGGGTCAGAGTCCTTTTCAACCTTGTCCCGGCTCTGATCTTTCAGGCTCGCTCCTTGCCGGCTCCAAGTACAAGTCGCTCCCACCCAGGGCATGCCGCAGTCTCCACTTCCTCCCGCGAACAAGGCCGACCGCACACCACCCGGCCATGTCTCTCATCACAGCCAGCCCACATTATGGGAGCTAAGGTGAGCCGTGACCGGGACATAGTGACTAGGGCACTCCGGGTGGGGGCCGGGGGGCCAGGCCTCATTCAATGGCTCAGACCCCAGTCACCCTGGCTCCCCCCTCAGCCCGGGGCAGCTATCTCCTTATCAATTCCCCCCACATGGCTTTAGCTTGGCCTCCCTACCTCAGTGACCTGACTGCGGCTTCCCCGATCACGTTACAGGGAGTTCCCAGATAGCTGTAGGACACAATCTACACAGGGCTGGGTAGTGCATCTCTATAGATTTAATCTCCTGATAGGAAAGGAGTGGCAGCTCCTGTGTCAATCTCTGGTTCCTCTCCCCTGTCCAGGGATGTGTTGGCTCTCCTGGGGTTTTGGGTTAATTTTAGTTCCTTGACATGTGCACAGACCCACCAGTAAGTTTAAAGCTGTTGCGAATTCTGCCACCTATATAAATTCCTAAAAATGCCACTATACACTTATATGCTACTATTTTGGTTTCATATGTGTACCTTGGTATGTCTTCATTCCACATATATGGTAGCACTAGTCTAGTGAATACTTTTTTTTTTTTTGCATGTGTTGTAGTGTTTCACTTGGCAACACAGCTGATACTGAAAATGGACTATCATAAACTGTTCTCACTGCTGTGTAAATGAATTCACCCTGCTTAACTAAATGTAGATTTTTTATATTATTTTCTGTCCAATTTTGGTGTGTTACTTTCAATAAAAGTGTGGTTATTTATTTAATTGGCTTCTAGTTTTTCATATTAGTTTCATTAAATTCATTAAAAAGTCTAATATTAATAAAATTATAGAAAAAAAACTATTTTAAAATCATTTTTGGGAAAAAAGTAATTTTCGGTTTCAGTTTTCGGCCAAGGGCATCCTGAATTTTCGGCCTAGAATTTTCATTTCGGTGCACCCCTACTCAATACCATTATCACCTGTACACTAAGTTCCACTTGAGTATGCCCCATCTCACACCACCTAGTGTAGTAAAAGGTTTGAGTATTTAACTGTATGGCAGAAAATTTCTATATATTGTTTATTGTATAGTAATTGTCCCTATTATGGTAGACTAGAAATTACAGCACTTGTTTCAGATGCAATAATCAGAATGTTAAGCATACCTGAGATGCAGGGAAGGGGAGAGATAGACTCCTAAATCCTAATTTTGCGGCAAATGGAGAGAATACTCCAATTCGGATTGTCTTCAATACCTCGATATGCAGTCTTCCTGTAAAATCAGTATTGAATCATTTGATTATATTTACTGTCAACACGGAGCATTGGCAACCTAGGAGTTAATGTTTTAGCAGTTTCCTGGATTGGCCACGGTGCTAAATGTGACTTATTCTGTAATGTCCACTGTAGTGGATAGCAATGAAGAATTACAGAGGGTTCTAAAGTGATTTAGTAATATCCTCTGTGCTAGAGAAACTGCTGATCAAAATCCTTGTACACTCTTAAACACCACTGAAATGTCTCCCCTCAGGATTCCTTAACCTTATTGATAATGATAAAGTCTCATAAATCTGGGTAAACCTTTAATTATACCTTAGAAACACTCTGGTATTATATTTATGATACACCAATAAAGGGTATGTCAAAAATTAGCTAACTGTACATTTTATCATAAATGGATATGGGCTTCCGGGGTTAAATGTTGAAAGCTTTAGTATATCTCTTAAATAACTGGTTTTCAAATTTGATCCTTTTTATGACAATTGGAAATGCACTATTTTTTTTTTTAGCTATGGGGTAAAGAGGTATATTCGTTCTAGACGTATGTCAGCGTTAGAATGGGTGGAAATTAGGTAAATTATTTCACATTCTATTCAAATAAAATTATAATTTTATTATAGTGCACGCAGCTATCCAGAATACCCATAGATTATTCAATAAATGATTCTGCATTAAAAGGGAATTATCAAAGAATCTGAAAGTCATATTTGATGGTGCCTGTCCTAGCTAGGCTAACTGATAAGTGTAAATATGATTGCAAGCAGGCCTTAATGTGGTATGTAAAACTGAATTAGTCAAAGAAGAAAGTATAATACCAAAGATATGTTTTTTTTACACAATTTCCATGCGTACATTCCCATTTTCTCTATCTCTGTGAGAGTGGGTCGATTCTCAGATTCTCTTTGAGAGTGGGACGATTCTCAGAATCTCTGTGAGAGTAGGCCAATTCACACGATTTCTGTTAGAGTGGGACGATTCTCAGAATCCCTGTCATAGTGAGATGATGCACATGATTCCTGTGAGAGTAGGACGATTCTCTCTATTGCTGTGAGAGTGGAACAAGACCCAGAGATGCCGAAGTCCTTATAATTTACGGTTTATATGATGACCATCATTCAAATAATGTTTTGGCTTCAAAAAGTGGTTATTTGTTATGTAGAATCTACATGATTTTCAAGGGAAGCTTAGCTTTCCAAGCATGCATCGGCCGCATACCTACCAACATCTCAAGGGACTACTGGTGCACTACTGGTGCAGCAAATTAAAGTTAAGGAACTCGCTGCTGCAGTCCAGAGAAATCAACTTACCAGAGTTTTTCCCTGACCATATTCCTTTTTTGTAAATTCTGGGTATCCCTGCCAATATTCCTTTTAATAAATCCTGAAATACCTGACCACATTCCTTTTACTAAATCGTGGGTATCCCTGACCACATTCCTATTACTAATTCCTCTGTATCCCTGTCTGTATTCCAGTTAGTAAACCATGGTTATCCCTGTCTGTATTCCTGTTAGTAAATCCTGGGTATCCATGTCTGTATTCCTGTTAGTAAACCATGGTTATCCCTGTCTGTATTCCTATTAGTAAACCCTGGGTATCCATGTTTGTATTTCTGTTAGTAAATCGTGGGTATCCCTGTCTGTATTCCTGTTAGAAAACTCTGGGTATCCCTGTCTGTATTGATATTAGTAATCCTGGGTATACCGGTCTGTATTCCTGTTAGTAAATCGTGGGTATCCCTGTCTGTATTCCTGTTAGTAAACTCTAGGTATCCCTGTCTGTATTGAGATTAGTAATCCTGGGTATACCTGTCTGTATTCCTGTTAGTAAACCATGGTTATCCCTGTCTGTATTCCTGTTAGTAAATCCTGGGTATCCATGTCTGTATTCCTGTTAATAAATCGTGGGTATCCCTGTCTGTATTCCTGTTAGTAAACTCTGGGTATCCCTGTCCGTATCCCTATCTGTATTGATATTGGTTTATCCTGGGTATCCCTGTCTGTATTCCTGTTAGTAAATCCTGGGTATCCTTGTCTGTATCCATGTTAGTAAACTCTGGGTATCCCTGTCTGTATTGATATTAGTAATCCTGGGTATCCCTGTCTGTATTCCTGTTAGTAAACTCTGGGTATCCATGTCTGTATCCCTATCTGTATTGATATTAGTTTATCCTGGGTATCCCTGTTTATATTCCTGTTAGTAAATCCTGGGTATCCCTGTCAGTATTCCTATTAGTAAATCCAGGGTATCCCTGTCTGTATTCCTATTAGTAAATCCTGACACTGTTCCATATAGGTAGCTCATAATTATAACTACCACCTGCTCGTTTTACCTCACATTCAAACTTTATACAATAATAATATAAACAGTTATAATAATACACAATCTCAATATTCAACCACTATAAACTAATAAACAGAGGGTTGTAAAATACATTTTTAGTGTGTGTTACCCAGTGGCGTACACACAATCCATGGGGCCCCGGTGTGAAACTGATCCGTGGGGCCCCCCGATCCGTCAGCCCCCCCAGACACATACATACAGACACAGACACACATACAGACACATACGGAGACACATACACACACATACATACAGACAGATACATACAGACAGACACATACACCCCCCTCCCCGACAGACACATACATACAGACACACACATACGCACTGACAGACACAGACATACATACAGACAAACACACCCCCAACAGACATACACACAGACACATACATACAGACACACACACACATACATACAGTCTATATGTGTGTGTATGTGTGTGTGTCTCTGTATGTATGTGTCTGTATGATACACATACATACAGAGACACACACATACTGACACATACATACAGAGGCACCCATGTACACACACACAGACACATACAGACACACACACACATACAGACACATACATACAGACACATACATATACAAAATGTTTGTCACCCTCCTGTTTCCTACCTTTTTCCCACTCTGACTCCCTCCTCCTTCCTCCCGCGCGGCTCTCTGATAGCTGGGAGGAGTGACAGGGCAGTCACTTCCTCCCAGCTCTGTCTGAGGTCATCACAGGGGGCCCGGTTGCGCTGTTAAAGCGTTGCAGCGCTGACCGGACCCCATGAAAATCTATATCCATCGGGTGGCCCTAACAGCATGGGCCAACCGATGGGCCCCTTCATGTGTGGCGCGGGCCGGGGCCGCAAAACATAGTGGCGGGTACCCGGTCACAGGGGTCACAGGGGTCCGCAGGGACGGCCGGGCCCCCTGGAGTGATGGGCCCGGTCACAACTGCGACCCCTATGACCGCGGTATGCATGTGTTACCCAATCGGACAGTGGGTTTGTTTACCAAACAGTGTTATCAAACTGTTATTTCAAAATTTAAGAGAAAATAAATATGAATATTTCTCCGATTCCACTATAGTCAGAGGTGGGTTATTTCACGTGGAATTTTGTATTTTTCTATTCACAATTCATCATACACTGTAATTCACTAAACGGGAACTATCCAGAATAGGCACAAAAAAAATTGCTTTTAAGGCCAAAATCACAAAAAAAGAGATTCTGCAACTGAGTTATATTTACACTGGAACTAATTTGGCCAATAATTTGCAATTCCCTTTGAAAATCCTGACTGTTCCCACTCAGTGATTACCTCTAGTAGGTGCTTTCATATAATTGTATAGAAAAGTGTATTATGCAATCTTTCACCTTGCCCTCCAACATTTACTGAACAATAAGTGGCTATTACATGTGACCCATTGTGAGATAAAACATTGATCATAAAAAGTGAATTCTCATCTACTGCACAATATATTTATCATTTAATCTGTGTTTCAAAACACCCAGGTATTCATTTAAATTCTATCTTAATAACATAAATCTTTTGCATAGTCTGATTTTCATTTTTTTCTCTTTTTCAAATATGTTAGTAATTTATATGTTTATATATGCATAATTTCTATTTACACTTTTGGACATTACTTTTCAGAATACATGTATCTTTTTAATTAAATTGTTAGTTTTTTAATCTAGCCAGGGTGTAAAAAATATCATTAAGAAGAGCTCTTTGAGGGTATTTGATGTTTTCTTGATTAGATCAAGAGTATTTTATGAAGGAGCAGAAGCTGATGAAGAGGCTTCACTGATGGGGATGAATACATGATTTTGGTATATCTCACTATCTGCATAAAGAAACCATTTGAACTGTCAGAGAAGCCTAACCATGAGTGAAAATGACATTAGCAGAAAGCAAACCAAAAGGTCAGTTGAGCAGAATTATTTTTTTTTACCCTTTCTGTTTGCAAATGATATACAAATATTACAGTATTCATCCAACATGCAGAAAGATGTTCGTACTGGGAGTTCTAATATGAATCGTGCATTACAGAAACACTGTGTGAATAGTTACATGAGTGAGGTTTAGCCATACATAGTTTCAACTGATCCAAACACATTTTCGAACAAAACTATGCTGACTTTTTTAAAATCAAAAACGTTACAATCTGAGGCTCCAGGTCTAACAGATCAGGTCATTGCTTTGTCTTTAGGTCAACATTTTCTACTTCATACAGACCAGCTTACTCCCTGAGAGTCTTAAAATTTGCAAACTTTCCATTTTATGGATGTGATTACATATTTTAGGGGTTGGGACTGCCCCCTCTATGCATTGATATTGGGAGGAAAAGGGGGTTGGGGTGAATTACTGTGCTCTGGGTGCATGTTATTCTGTGGTAACATAGGCGCCCATAAATACATTTGATTGTACACTGTAAATAGTCAGAACATTAAAACCACTGACAGGTAGAGTGAATAACATTGATTATATCGTTATAAAGAATCCTGTGAAAGGGTGGAATATATTATAAGACAGCAAGTAAACAGTCTGTTTTTGAATTTCATGTGTTGGAAGAAGGAAAAATGGGCAAGCAAAAATATCTGAATAACTTTGACTAGAGACAAATAGTGATGGCTAGATGACTGGGTCAGAGCATCTTCAAAATGGTCTTCAGTATTCAGTGATTAGTACCTACCAAAAGTAGTGCAAGGAAGGACAACCTGTCACCCAGCGTCAGGGCTCATTGATAGCACATCTGGTCTAATCACAAAGAAGAGCTACTGCACCTCAAATGTTGAAAAACTTAAAGCTGGCCAAGAAAGAAAGGTGTCAGAACGCACAGTGCATCACAGTTTGGTCATAGTTACATAGCTGAAAAGAGACTTGCGTCCATCAAGTTCAGCCTTCCTCACATTTGTTTTTTGCTGTTGATCCAAAAGAAGGCAAAAAAAACCCAGTTTGAAGCACAATCTTGCAACAAGCTAGGAAAAAAATTCCTTCTTGACCCCAGAATGGCAGTCAGATTTATCCTTGGATCAAGCAGTTATTACCCTACATTGAAAGATTATATCCTTGAATATTCTGTTCTTGCAAGTATGCATCTAGTAGCCGTTTGAACATCTGTATGGACTCTGATAAAACCACTTCTTCAGGCAGAGAATTCCACATCCTGATTGTTCTTACAGTAAAAAAACCTTTCCTTTGCCTTAGACGAAATCTTCTTTCTTCCAGTCTAAACGCATGGCCTCGTGTCCTATGTAAAGTCCGGTTTGTGAATAGACTTCCACACAATGGTTTGTATTGGCCCCGAATATATTTGTATAATGTTATCATATCCCCTCTCAGGCGACATTTTTCTAAACTAAATAGGTTTAAATTTGTTAACCTTTCTTCATAGCTGATATGTTCCATTCCTTGTATTGATTTTGTAGCCCGCCTCTACACTTTTTCTAATAATATCCTTCTTTAGAACAGGTGCCCAAAATTGCACAGCATATTCAATATGGGGTCTTACCAGTGATTTATAAAGAGGCAAAATGATTTTTCATGCATGACAATACCTTACTGGCCTTGGCCACTGCTGATTGACATTGCACATTGTTGCATAGTTTGTTGTCTATAACAATTCCCAAGTCCTTTTCATGTGTTGTTATCCCTAATTCGCTTCCATTAAGGGTATACGTTGCTTGTGTATTCTTTATGCCGAAGTGCATAACTTTGCATTTTTCAACATTAAATTTCATCTGCCATTTGAGTGCCCAGTCCCCCAGTCTATCTAAATCCCTCTGCATAAAGTAATATCTTGCTCACATTGTATTATTTTACAAAGTTTTGTGTCATCTGCAAACACTGAAACATGAATTTCAATGCTGTCTTCAAGATAATTTATAAACATGTTAAATAGAAGGGCCTATGATTACCCCTGTCTGCAGCCTAAAACACCTTCAATGGGGACGTGAGCTTCAGAACTGGACAATGGAACAATGGAACAAAGTTGCCGGGTGTAGTCAATCACATTTTATTTTTGATCATGTGGATGGCTGGGTGCGTGTGCATCGTTTACCTGGAGAAAAGATGGCAGCAGGGTGCACTATGGGGAGAAGCATTATGCTTTGGACAATGTTATGTAAAATCTTGGGGCCTAGTATTCATGGGATGTTACTTTGACATACCTAGTGATTGTTGCAGCCTACTTACACCCCTTCATGGCAATGGTGTTCCTAGACGACAGTGGCCTCTTTCAGTAGGATAATGCCACACTGCAAAAATTGACCAGGAATCGTTTGAGGAACATGACAAAAAGTTCAAGGTGTTACTTTGGCTTTCAAATTTGCCAGATCTTATTCTGACAGAGCATCTGTGGAATGTGCTGGAACAACAAATCCGATCCTTGAAGGCCTCACCTCGCAACTTGCAGGACTAAAAGGACCTTTTGCTAATGCCTTTAGTGCCAGATACCACGCGACACAATCAGAGGTTGTGGTATCAGAGTCCATGTCTCGACGTATCAGAGCTATTTGTATTCTACAGCTTTCGATTGAAATGATTCCTTTACATGCAGTTGATCATAAAAGAGACTATAATGGGCAACTGCCACCATAAAGCACACAATGTGTCAATTAATTGGATCTTTTTTACATGTCTAAAAAACCTCTTAATGTATTGTTTCTATGTCATGTTTTACCTTATGAGCAACTGACTTATGGAAAATTAGTAGAATATCTTGTTTTTTAGTGAGTTGTAAGATTGCTATGAAAGCCAATGTCATGAACTGTCGAAGATTCACCTTAAGCTTTACACTAGTTTATACCACAGACATTGACTGAGAGTTTTTAATTTGAAATGGCATTATCTTCTCAGCACTGCTCATATTTATCAAATATGGCACTGAATTACCCATCAGCCTCTGGACAGTGTTACCTAACTTTCATGCAAAAATGTCTGCTTGTCCGTATCTGCATCTTGTCTGAAATTCCTTCCTTGACACGATCTCATTTTAACTCAGTCCATAATTCCTTCTTACTTTCCAAAGAAAGTTTTATTTCTGCAGACGGTGAAGCAAAGCATGACTTGATAGCTTACCCGTTCTGTGTGCAATTTTCATTGACGTGTATAATTCCACTGCGACATGATGTAAACATTGGAGAGACTAATGTGTGGGCAACCAGAGGCAACGCTTCTGTATCTCTAAACAAGAATGGAGATACTTATGTATGTGTCAAAATTTATAGGAGCAGATTTATAATCACTTAAGATGTCATAATGTAAATGTAAGTAGATTTAAACAGCAATTTCACTTCCCCCACCATTTCTGTTTTTTTTTGTTTTTTTTAAAAGGTTCTTTCTAAGTTTTAATTTTTTTAACCACAATTCTAGCCTAGGGGTGTGTGTGTGAGTCAAATGCTGATGTACATGTACACAATGAAAGGGCCACCCAGAAATTAACGTGTTGAGTACTAGAAAGCTGAACAAGAAGTATATACATGCTTTGCACATACTTTATA